TCAGCTTCTCTGCAAGCTCTCCAAGGCCTTCGGGCATGGAGACAGATGGCCACAAAGCCTGGGCGACGCCTTGCATCACCTGCCGAACTCGTTCGTGCAATTGTAAGAGCTCGGGAAGAAGGTCACACGTAGATCCGGGCATTTCCTCTATAGACCTGCCTGTCAGCATACCTACGGACATAACTTTGTCAATCGACTTTCTCGCCAAACTCTTTTTCCGAAGTTCATTCAAGCACTTACTAAAAATGCCGCGTCGAAGCCGCCGATTCTCCTTCACGGAGTCCGACAGCTGAGCACGAACATCCTTTACTTCCTCGCCCAGCTGGGTGTTGGCATCTTGGAGCTTATTTTTCTCTTGCCTCACCCTTGTAAGCACGCTCTCACCGGCCTTTAACCGACTCAAGAGTTGTTGTTGGTCCGGATCAACTCCGGCGCCATCTGCAATGTTATTGTCATATTTTTACACATGCCGCACTTCGCAACATACTTATCTTTCAAAGCATATAGTACCAGAGGAGGTCTCCTTGGCCTCCCCTGCCGCGGCTAGTGCGGCCTCACGTTGGGCTTTGCACTCTTCCAGCTCCTGGGACAATTGGGTATTCTTTTCTGTAAGATCCTGCATAACAAATGATCCATAAATTAGTTATTCTAACTATTTCATGTCTCGGGGGCTACTGACATATATAACCATCAAATTTTCTCACCCGTATGTCTTTTACATACTGCTCTGTGGCTCTGGCTAGACCATCTTGAGCGGCACGGAGATACGCATCTCCCGTATTGAAGGCATCTAACGCCTCTTGGGAGAAACAAGCGTCACGAAGAATTGTCTGGCGACGCCTGTGGTTCATGGCACTCTCCACCTTTGAATTGGTGGCAGATAACCCGTTTGCATCCTCTGTCGGAGGAGCGTCTGGTGCGTGCCTCGTACTCGCCTCCGCTTCCGTACCCGGCCTTGGAGCCTGGCCGGTGGAGGCGCGATTGGCATCCTCTCCGGATATAGTCTGGCGAGCGCTCTTTTTCCTGAAGAAAGCACGAGCGTTGGTACGCCTCAAGGAAATAAAACCTGGAAATAAAAAGACACGCCATACCATTGCGCCGGTGTCTCAATCCGGACCGCACTTCTTTTCAGCCTGCCGGGCCTTGATGCCCCTTGTTGGCTACCCACCGCAGGCTCGGCCCTCCGCCTCAAGGACTTCCCCTGCAAAAATGTCATTGGTATACGGTGACCCAAAATAAGCACGGATGGATCATTTTAAAAATGCTGGGATTTCGGTCTCGGTTACTTGAGAGGCTGGGAGTAGTCCGGGATAATCGGCCGTAATGGCCACCAAGGCATTGTCCTTGCTCAATTGATGAAACACCCCATCGATCAGCTCCACGCCTAAGTCCGGGTCCTCTTGGGAGTTCGGATCGAAGGACCGTTTTAGGTCCTCGGGTTGTGGAGGAGGGTTGTTTATCTCCTTTATAGCCTGGCGTAGCTCCTGCATTGAAATTGCTAGACTAAATACCTAACTGTGGGAATATGAAACAGATGGACAAGTGAAAGTATTCGCTTACCCAGCTTGGAGGATTGTACATAGAAAATCCGCCCCGTGGGTTGACGCGGAGGAATTCCTCCTCTTCTCCCTTGTACAAAGCGTACAAGATCTTTATTAGAGCGACAGACGAATCCGGCCCCTTACGGCCGCACCGGGTGGCGTCGTCCTCCCCGTTGAAATCCCACATGGGGTGGCCTCTATACTGAAGCGGCTGCACCCCCCGTGTAATGCATGTGGCCATGACCTCGATCATGGTCAGTCCGGAATGAGCCAACAACCTTATCCGGCTCATCAGGTAAAGGACATCCCTGTCATTTTCCTTCCGAGGGCTCCGTGGACGACAGCTTAGGCGCTTCTTCAAAGGAGCATTATCAAACTCAGGGAGGCCGATCCGTACAGGGTCCGGCAGGGGGACGTCTTCTATATAAAACCATTCTGAAGGCCAGTCTTCGAACGCCTTCTTTGGGGTTCCGGATAGATATCCGGTCCCGGCGATGCGCCATAGTTTGGCTCCGCCCACTTGATATATCGACCCCTCCTGAGAACGGGGCACGAGGCAGAACAGCTTCTTCCACAGCGCAAAATGAGCCTCGATACCCAAAAACAGCTCGCAAAGGGCTACGAAGCCTGCAATATGCAATATGGAGGCAGGCGTAAGGTTGTGCAATTGGAGGCCGTAAAACTCCAGGAGCCCCTAGAGCAACGGATGAATTGGAAATCCGAGCCCTCTTATCAAATAAGGGACAAGGCATACCCGCTCTCCTTTGGAGGGATTGGGAACGCTCTTCGCTTGCTCTCCACCATTATAGGTGGCGAGCCCGGCTCGAACCGGGACCATGTAGGCCAGGGGGAGTAATCCCTTGGCTTGGAGCGCCACTAGCTCATTGTGCGAGACGGAGCATCTTTCCCAATCTCCAGGCTGAGGACTGGGGGGGGGCGAGAGGAGGAGCTGCGTCGACCGGCCATGATGGAATGGATCTCTGTCGAATGCGCTCCGATGAAAGCTCGCGAAGGAAAGATGGTGTGATTCGAATCTAAATCCCCGTCTCTTTTATAGGCAGCTCATTTGCACAGCTAGGGGGGTAAATGAAAAAACACCCTGGCTTTTCACATTCGTTTTACACGTGGAAGATGGCCATTATTGGGCACAGAAGCCAAGGAGCGCAACATTCACCAGAAGCCGGACACTATTCCACAGGTACATGGAGTTTGGAGAAGAACCCGCCTTGCAATGCCGAAGACAAATCTGCGCGCCGGACTCATCGTCATTGAAGCCTGGTTCGGGGGCTACTGAGGGAGTCCCGGATTAGGGGGTGTTCGGATGACCGGATTTTGACCTTTGGCCTGACTCCTGGACTATGAAGATACAAGATTGAAGACTTCGTCCCGTGTCCGGATGGGACATTCCTTGGCGTGGAAGGCAAGTTTGGCGATACGGATATATAGATCTCCTCCCATTGTAACCGACTCTGTGTAACTCTAGCCCTCTCCGGTGTCTATATAAACCAGAGGGTGTCCATAGGACGAACAACAATCATACCATAGGATAGCTTCTAGGGTTTAGCCTCTCTGATCTCGTGGTAGATCTACTCTTGTACTACCCATATCATCAATATTAATCAAGCAGGAGTAGGGTTTTACCTCCATCGAGAGGGCCCGAACCTGGGTAAAAACATCGTGTCCCTTGTCTCCTGTTACCATCCGCCTAGACGCACAGTTCGGGACCCCCTACCCGAGATCCGCCGGTTTTGACACCGACAACGACCGCGGCCGCGCTTGGGCGGAGGAGAGCCAGGTCCTTCCTGGCGAGCCTTCCCCTTCTCCGCGGCCGAGAACCTCTTCACGGGCGCCATGGGGTGCTATCAGCAACATGAGCAAGGAAGGAGAAGAAGCGGGCGGAGCAAGAGGATATGGGCAACGGGGGCTTTCGTCTCTCCCCATTTATAGCCCGAGGGAGGCCAACCGTCGACCTCCACGATCGCAGGTAAAGATGACTCTTCTTGGATGTAGTAGGGACTCGTCAAATCGGGCAGTTGCCGAGGCAGCGTGGGGAAGCGGAGACACCCACGTCCAATCAACCGCCACGCGGCGACCAAGGCCGCAGGCTGTTGGGGCCTGTGGCGCTCCACACTTGCCCTTTGGCTTCGCTGCGCCAAGCCAAGTCCGAGCACGCCTTGGGCCCGGGGCTACTGTCGGCGTTCTGAGAATGGGGGTCCCCAGACTTGCTTGCCTGCGGCCTGTAGCGTGGCTCAACAAGTGGCCCAGTACGACCCGTCTTCATCAACCCAAGTTCAAGACCCTCGCGAGGGGCCAAGCCTCGCGGGGCGGATGATGCAAGGCCTCCTCAGGGGCGGCCTCACCAGGCAGGCTCGTGAGGAGGCGGAGAGATCAAGGCAAGGGGTGCCTCGCGAGGTGCTCATGACGCAAGCCATGACGATCAAGACCAGGCGGGCGCCAGGCGGGCGCCAGCCTGCGCAGTGTCCTCGTTTCCTCTTTGGTGCAAAGGGGGCAAGCGCAGACGCGGAGTACCGAGGCATCGAGCAAAGGTTTCCTTATCGGTGCAACGAGACCAAGATCAGCAGGACAGCAGGACGGAGGTCACCGTGGAACCCAAGACGGCGTCATCACCAGTGCCTTTAGCAGTCGAAGACCACCTTTAGTCAGGATAGCTTGTACTAGCTGTCCCCTTTTGAAATAGCCGTTGTTGGCTCCCTTCACGCTCAATATTTGGGAAGAGGACCAGGGTCTCTATAAATAGAGATAGCCACCACAGTAGGAAGGCATCTGGAATCTCATCCGAGCCTAGCTCATCCACACCACCAGAAGAACACCTCTCCTCGTGAGGCTGTTTTTCCTCTGTACTGTTCATCATCAGCCCTAGAGGCAATTCACCACACCACACACTGAATTAGGGTATTACACCACAACAGTGGTCCAAACCAGTATAAACCTCGTGTCTCTTATGCTGTTCATCGATTTAGCTTAGAATCACGGTGAGGTTGTGGACGTGTTTCGGTAGGGAGAAGATCTTCGTGCGGACCCCAGAGTTCGAACCTTAAGGGTTTTGCCGGAACCCGATATGCGACATTTGACGCGTCAGATAGGAGGGCGACGAACCTCCCCCAATTACATTGTATCGTTGGGCTTGTGTTGTTGCTTCGTATACTGTTTCGAGAGATCCTGTTTTACTACTTTCTTTGTGCACCTTTGTAAGACATTTAAGACAGCTGCAATTGAACTGTTTTGGATATTGTTTTAAATATGTAAAACGTCTTAAAAAATGAACGGAGGGATTACATCATCGGAATAGGAGTATTTGTAAACCTGAAAGACAAACCATCAGGTGTCGCACATACTCCATCAAAGTAGGACCCAAAAACTGTTTGTCGGGAGAGTCAAACTCAAGTCCCCGATATTAAATTGATGTTTCATGTGGAAAGACCAACATATCTTCGGTCCCTACGGGTCGAAATTGCGAGCGGCAACACCAAGAGTGTCCTCAGTATGAGCACCAGCAGTGGCTTGGTGGCAAGAGGTAGCAGTGCTACTAGCGCCCACCTCTTGAATCCCTCTGCTCCACAGCCTCTTAATCGACCTCATCCTCGCCAAACCGTGCGACTTCCCGGCATCACCATCACGCGGCGCCAACGCCGATTCCGCGGCCTCCGGGACTTCGATGACAATCAACGCTGCTGCTCCAACGGACGAGCTCGGGCCGCCGACTGTTCTTCCAGTCGTGACCGCGTCCGGGGATCCCCAGAACAGCACGTTGGTCGGCAGGTTTGTGGCGTAATTCGCCGGTTCGGGGCGCAGAGGAGGTAGAGCCAGCGGCAAGGCGTCCGGCTTGTCGACGTCGACGCGGCAGAGCGGGCAGGTGGGGTGGGAATGCAGCCACAGGTCGACGCACTCGGCGTGGAACCCGTGCCCGCACTTGGGCAGGAACCTGGCCGCCTCGCCGTCGGACAGCTCGGCGAGGCACACGGCGCACTCCAGCGCATCCGCGAAGTCCTTGGCACGGTACAGTGTCACCGGCAGCGCCCGCAGCACCACCGGATCGACGCCTTTTGCGACGCCGGAAGCAGAAGCTGCGCCAACGCCGAGGCGCGGACCGCCCCTCACCGTCCCGGCCCTACCCCGAACGCCGCGGCGACTGAAGGTGAGGTAGTGGTAAATAAAGAAGGCGAGGGCGAGGCCGAGGAAGAGGAGGGCGACGGCGGAGAAGACGATGTCGCCGTCGACTGCCGTGGTGGGAGTCCGTGCACTGGGCAGAACGCTGCCCGCGTCGTCCCCGGGCAACGATGACATGTCGCGCCTCCGCACTTCGTCGTGAGCAGTGAGCTTCGTACATGTGTGGCCCGCTATGATTTATGAGCATGGTCTCGCAATACTTTGCTGCTTTGTTGGAGAGGGTTTGGTAGTGGTACATGGACCGATCTGGTGGAGTTGGTGTGTTGGCGTGGGTGAGGATTAGTGTTTGAGTTGAGCTCATGACATATAGGCCGATTATATGCCAATTAATAAACTAGAAAAAGCTACATTTACTCGAAAGAAATTACATTTACCCGATGCCAGTGCTCAGATTAAGAACCTTGTCCGATTGTGATAATATATAGTTTGCGTCGACAAAATGCCAGTAAATATCTACTCATTTGTCCCAAATTATAAGACATTTCTGTTAGATAGTTTGGAACGGAGGTACTATTATCTATTATGTAAAAAGTTCACATGAAAAATGTTCCGCGTGGTCCTTCCGAGGACGGCAGCTACAGAAATATAGCCACCACGACGCGGGATTCCTTAGGGCATCTCCAATGAAAGACGCCTAATCAGGCGCTTGATCGGCAATAAAATAGTATTGTATTCTAGCGCCTGGGTTAAGAGTCCCTTCTTCCATCGCTAAGAGCCATGCATGAGCGCTACACACATAAAAATAGAACAGGAAGCTAGGCTAGCGCCCGAGGACTAGTATGGCATCGATGCCAGGCGAGTTCCCAGATTAGGATGGGAACCGAGCAAAACGGCCAGGATTCGGAGCCTGGCGCCCACTATAAGCGCCCGCATTGTACATGCCCTTAGGCTGCTCCATCCCTCGCCGTCACCGGAGGAGGTTGCCAAGCAAAGCCGGCATGGCAAATGAAGGCGGGGGGCCCTTCCAGCTTGTTTTGTGACGATGGTGGATGGCGGTAGATGCACACGGTGGGGCATTTACGTGCGCGCGGCAGGATGCCATGATCTGGTACGATGTGGTTCGATAGCATGCCCAACGGGGAGTGGATTGCTGACCCACAAGTATAGGGATCGCAACAGTGTTTGAGGGTAGTATTTTACCCAAATTTATCGATTCGACACAAAAGTTCCAAAAAATATTTATAAGCCTTAGCAGTTGAATTGTCAATTCAATCACATGCGAGAATCACTTCCTTGCAGCAATTTATTAGTAGCACAGTAATATGAACCCAAATTTACTGATTCGACACAAGAGTGCCAAAGAATATTTATAAGCCTTAGCAGTTGAGTTGTGGTACGTCCATTTTGCATCATGTTTTTCTAATGTTATTTATAATGCTTTTATGCATAATAATGCTTTTGGGAGTAATACTAATGCCTTTTCTCTCATAATATGCAAGGTCTACAGAAAGAGGGAGAATACTGGCAGCTGGAATTCTGGACCTGAAAAAGCACGTCAGAGCTACCTATTCTGCACAACTCCAAACAAGCTGAAACTTCACAGAGATTTTTATGGATTATTTAAGAATTATTGGAACGAATAACTACCAGAGGGGGGGCCACCAGGTGGGCATAACCCACCTGGGCGCGCTAGGGAGCCCAGACACGCCCTGGTGGGTTGTGCCCTCCTCGGCCCACCTTCGGTGCCCATTTTCTAGTATATAGGTCATTTTGACCTAGAAAAATGAGGCGAGGACTTTTGGGAGGAAGCACCGCCGCCTCGAGGTGGAACTTGGACAGGAGACTTTTGCCCTCCGACGGAGTGATTCTGCCGGGGGAATTTCCCTCCTGGATGGGGAAATTATCGTCATCGTCATCACAAACTATTCTCCCAACTTTGGGAGGGCCACCTCCATCAACATCTTCAACAATACCATCTCCTCTCAAACCCTAGTTCATTTCTTGTGTTCAATCTTTGTACCGGAACCTTAGATTGGTACTTGTGGGTGATTAGTAGTGTACATTACATCTTGTAGTTGATCACTATATGGTTTATTTGGTGGAAGGTATATGTTCAGATCCATTATGCTATTTAATACCCCTCTGATCTTGAGCATGATCATCATTTGTGATTAGTTACTTTTGTTCTTGAGGTCACGGGAGAAGTCATGTTGCAAGTAATCAAGTGAACTTGATATGTGTTCGATATTTTGATGATATGTATGTTGTGATTCCCTTAGTGGTGTCATGTGTGTTGGGGAACGTAGCATGTAATTTCAGAAAAATTCCTACGCTCACCAAGATCTATCTAGGAGATGCATAGCAACGAGAGGGGGAGAGTGTTTCTACGTACCCTCGTAGACCGAAAGCGGAAGCGTTTGACAACGCAGTTGATGTAGTCAAACTTCTTCTTGTTCCGGCCGATCAAGCACCGAACGCACGACACCTCCGAGTTTTGTACACGTTCAGCTCGATGACGTCTCCTCCTTCTTGATCCAGCAAGCGGGAGAGGAGAAGTAGATGGGATGACAACCGACATGACGACGTGGTGGTGATGGTGGTGGTGGAGCACCGACAGCGCTTCGCTAAGCGTCGCCGGGACGAGGCGGTGGAACTACGGAGTAACGAGAGAGGGAGGTGCGCCAAGGGATTTTGTCTATCCTCTTGGGGAGCCCCTCCATTCTATATATAGGTGGAGGGGCGTGGCAACAGCCCCTCCAAAGTCCAAGGCGCATCCAAGGGGGAGGAGGACTTGGAATCCAAGTCCAATTCTATTCCTATTAGGACTCCTTCCTTTCTTCCTTTCCCTAGCCACATGGGCTTTTGAGGACTTGGTGCTCCTAGCCCAATAAGTCTAGGGAACCTCCCCGCAGCCCATGCTAGACCTTGGGTCGTGGTGAACCCACTTGTCGACTTCCGGATCCCTCCGGAACCTTCTAGAAGCTTCCCGATACAATACCAAAAAAACTGCACCTTTTCTGGGACCCAAAATATGACTTCCTATATATAAATCTTTACCTCTCGACCATTCCGAGACTCCTCGTGACGTCCGAGATCTCATCCGGGACTCCGAACAACATTTGGTTACCACTCATCAATTATCCCAATACTACTCTATCGTCAACGAACGTTAAGCGTGCGGACCCTACGGGTTCGAGAACTATGTAGAGATGAACGAGACACCTCTCCAGTCAATAACCAATAGCGGAACCTGTATGCTCATATTGGCTCCCACATATTCTATGAAGATCTTTATCGGTCGAACCGTTATGACAACATACATTATTCCCTTTGTCATCGGTATGTTACTTGCCCAAGATTCGATTGTCGCTATCTTCATACCTAGTACAATCTTGTTGCCGGCAAGTCTCTTTACTCGTTCGATAATGCATCATCCCTCAACTAACTCATTAGTCACATTGCTTGCAAGGCTTCTTATGATGTGCATTACCGAGAGGGCCTAGAGATACCTCTCCGATACTCAAAGTGACAAATCCTAATCTGGATCTATGCCAACCCAAAAAACACCTTCGGAGATACCTGTAGAGGATGTTTGTAATCACCCTATTACGTTGTGACATTTTATAGCACAAAAGGCATTCCTCCGGTGTTCGGGAGTTGCATAATCTCATAGTCGGAGGAATATGTATTTGACATGAAGAAAGCAGTAGCAATAAAACTGAACGATCATTATGCTAAGCTAACGGATGGGTCTTGTCCATCACATCATTCTCCTAATGATGTGATCCATTCATCAAATGACAACACATGTATATGGCTAGGAAACTTAACCATCTTTGATTAACGAGCTAATCAATTAGAGACATACTCGGGACATGGTGTTTTGTCTATGTATCCACACATGTATCAAGTTTCCGGTTAATCCAATTTTAGCATGAACAATAGACATTTATCATGATATATGGAAATATAAAATAACAACTTTATTATTGCCTCTAGGGCATATTTCCTTCAGTCTCCCACTTGCACTAGAGTCAATAATCTAGTTCACATCACCATGTGATTTAACACCAATAGTTCACATCTGTATGTGATTAACACCCATAGTTCACATCGCCATGTGACCAACAACCAAAGGGTTTACTAGAGTCAATAATCTGGTTCACATCGCTATGTGATTAACACCCAAAGAGTACTAAGGTGTGATCATGTTTTGCTTGAGAGAGAAGTTTAGTCAACGGGTCTGCCATATTCAGAGCTGTATGTATTTTGCAAATTTTCTGTGTCTACAATACTCTGCATGGAGCTACTTGCTAACTTCCCCTACTTTCAATATGTATCCAGATTGAGACTCAGAGTCATCCGGATTGGTGTAAAAGCTTGCATCGATGTAACTCTTTACGACGAACTCTTTATCACCTCCATAACCTAGAAATTTGCCTTAGTCCTCTTAGGTAACTAAGGATAACTTTGACCGCTGTCTAGTGATCCACTCCTAGATCACTATCGTACACCCTTGCCAAACTCATGATAAGGTACACAATAGGTCTAGTACACAACATAGCATACTTTATAGAACCTATGGCCGAGTCATAGGGAATGACTTTCATTCTCTTTCTATTTTCTACTGTGGTCGGGTTTTGAGTCTTACTCAACTTTACACCTTGCAACACAGACAAGAACTCCTTATTTGACTGTTCCATTTTGAACTACTTCAAAATATTGTAAAGGTATGTACTCATTGAAAAATCTTATCAAGCGTCTTGATCTATCTCTATAGATCTTGATGCCCAATATGTAAGCAGCTTCACCTAGGTCTTTCTTTGAAAAACTCCTTTCAAACTCTCATTTATGCTCTCCAGAAAATTCTACATCATTTCTGATCAACAATATGTCATTCACATATACTTATCAGAAAGGTTGTGGTGCTCCCACTCACTTTCTTGTAAATACATGCTTTAGCTCAAGTCTGTATAAAACTATATGCTTTGATCAACTCATCAAAGCGTATATTCCAAGTCCGAGATGCTTGCACCAGTACATAGGATTGACAAAACCTTCTGGTTGCATCATATACAACTCTTTTTTAATAAATCCATTAAGTAATGCAGTTTTGATATCCATTTGCTAGACAATTGCTAACATGATTCAGACAGACTTAAGCATCGATACGAGTG